TATTGTAAAATAATTTTTTTATGTGTTTCACACCGTGTGTAAAATCAGTTGTGTAACATTAACGGTCCCTCCTCTAGGCTTTAGGTCACGTGATGGACACGGCTTTAGACGACCCCCGTAAATGTCAATCATTTTGTGGTATAAAATTCCTTATTGAAAACATTACCGACAATACCGATACGTAGAAAAATCAAAATTTCCTATTTTTCATAAAAACATTTGGTATTACCTTATTTTGTATTTTAAGTTTTCTTCGGATATTTGATCCAGATTTACATATTTCATATGAATATGAAATTAATTTTATGTGTGTACGTAAATCTTTTAAGCTAAATTTAATCTTATTATATAAAATAATAAACATTACCAAAAAATATAACTTACAAATAACGAATTAGCAAATACGCGGTTTTGTTTAAATAATTGTTGAAGTCTTACCGTTATAATAGGCTGGAGCAACATTCATTTTCTTTTATTATCCTCTGGCTGAATCATACTCATACATAGTCCAATTCTCAAATTTTTCGAAAACTTTATTATTTTTTAAATAAATAATTTTTTTCAACTCATAAAACAAAGAAAAAAATTTTATTAATAATGACGGAAGTCGGCATGGTAGATACTTTACAGAAAGGAGGAATCATGATAGATCCCTCGCAGAAAGGAGGAATCATGATAGATCCCTCGCAGAAAGGAGGAATCATGATAGATCCCTCACAGAAAGGGGGACTCATGATAGCGATTAAAGAATGCTTCAGTGGAACTGTTGGTGGTATCGCACAAGTGTTAGTTGGTCAAGTAAGTCTTTAACTGATTCAAACTTGCGTTATTAATTAATAAATTAATTATATCAATTCCTGGTTTATACGAAAGCCCTTTAATACAGTTAAAGTCGTAAGTAATATTTTACAAAGGGAATTTAAAAATATTCATTTAATGTATAACACATATACAAATTAAATGTGAATTAACTTTGAAATACATTGATACTATCAGAGACTTCAAACGCAACCTATACCAAAACCTGGACAACCACCATTATATTCCAATATGTTAGATTGTGTACGAAAAACTAGCAAGGAAGGTTTCAGTGCATTTTATAAGGTTAATTACTATCTATACTTTTACTAAAAATTCTTGATCGTTGTTTTATAAAGTTTTATTGATAATGGCATAAAAAAAAAATTAGGGAACAACAACGCCCTTAGTTGGAGTTGGAGCATGTGTATCAATTCAATTTGCAGTATTAGAACACATGAAACGATTTTTTAATGATAGGAATGCAAATAAAGATTTTATGCTGACAAATTCACAGTTATTTTTATCTGGATCAGCTGCAGGAATAGCAAATTCAGTTCTTTCCGGTATGAGATTTGATTTAAAGAGTTTAAATTTTATTAGTACATATGAAATTATTTTCATAGAGTTATAATTTAATATCTTAAAATTAGGTCCGATAGAGAATATTCGCACACGTAAGTTTTCTGTATAATAATAAATTATAGCGAGTAATTCAATCCCTAAAATTACATTAATATACACGACATGAAAATTATATAGGCCTTCAAGTCCAAATCACGCCTACACAAGCAAACTCTGTTAAAAAGCCCATGTTATATTCTGGACCAATTGATTGCATTAAAAAAATCTATTCCGCACATGGAATTCGTGGACTTTATAAAGGACAATCAATGACTATGGCGCGTGAATTTCATGGATATGGTACATATTTTTTTTTATATGAGTTTTTGAAACGTAGAGAGGGAAAAGGCAAAAAACCAAGGGATATTGAAAACTGGAAAGCTTATTTATTTGGCGCAATTGCAGGTATTTCTTATGTTTTAATTACATAATCTGGTTTAGGAAGAAAATTTTCTTCAAGTTTTAATTTATCTATTTCACAGGATATGGAATGTGGTTGGTAATATATCCCATTGATGTAGTAAAAAGTAAATTACAAACGGATGGCTTTACGCCTCAAACAAAAAAATATAAAGGTGCATTGGACTGTTTTGCGCAAACTTATAGGTATGAAGGGTTAAGAGGATTTACTAAAGGATTTGGAACTGTTATGCTACGTGCTGGTCCCGTTAATGCATCCACTTTCATGGCTTATGAACTTGCTATGAAAAGCTTTGACAAACTTTAATTTAGTTATTATTAATTTAATAGTGTATTTAAATTATTGTGCATTTAATTAACATTCATCCACCTTCAAATACATAGCATTTATCATTATATAACACTTTTATCATAAATATATAAATTCATATTCTTGGAATAGAATAAAACGTCTTCCCCTTAATTCTTTTATGTTTCCCAAATATCCTATTCATTATAAACTTACCCCCGAAAAAACAATTACACATTGATAAATTGATATTCTAATATTATGTACATTTTCGAATCAATAGTTTAATAATTATTTAAACCTCATTGCTAGCAAACATTATTTGAATTACGACTATTTTTAAATACAGAGAGAATTCTCTAAATGCATACCATAGGGACCGAACTTCTAAAAACATGAATTTAGAAAACAATAAGAAAATGTGCATTTATAGGAGTCAAGTACTGTATATACTTGGGCCAGAAGTTGCGAGTGCGTTTAGAGAGGTGGTGCATTTAGAGTGGATGCATTCAAAGAGGGGTGCATTTAGAGAGATCTCTCTGTAATACCTTTCCAGTGTATATTATTTTTAATTCGGTTACTTTAGCATTTGTGGTTTCCTTATCTCGTGTTTGAATCGTGCTCTTTTGAATTCATAATCTATGCTAATTTGTATTCATTTATGGCTAGAATAAAGAAATTGATTATTAATACGATCATCTAATTTTTGGGAGATCATTACATATTAAACTTAATTTAATTAAAAACTTGATTAATAATAATGAAGCGATCCGTTCAATTAATAAAAATTTTTTTTGAAAAATTTATTATAACAAGAGTTTTATTAGTAAATTCATTATATCGAGAGCTAATTATAACGAGAGTGAGTTTATATCCATATTTACAAACACACGGTAATTTTCAATATCACTAGTGTGCTAAACCCATTATTAAATGACAAATTATAAAAGTATTTGACCGTTATTCAATGATGAGTTAAACCTTTAAAGATTCCTCTAAGTTTTCATAGAAATCTAATTGTTATTAACTTTAACGTCAAATGTCTAAAATTTCTAAAATTCAAATATGCATAAAAATATATTGCAATAGCTGTCTAACGTGTTTAACTTCAGAATTTTTTAAAGAATGTAATAAAAACAAATACTAACATTGAATTATCAGAAACTGGAATTTTTTTTTAGTTGTCTAAAGGTAAATCGTCATATTAAATCATATAGTGTCAAAAAATTTAACTTCGTATGTATGCACGTTCTGTACATATGTACGTACGTACGTACCTTAAACCTAGGTTCATACCCTTATCAAATTTGATCACATCCTAGTCGAATCTTAAAGCCCTTACTTTAAATTTGAACACATCCAAACTAAAATGAAATCCCTCATTTAAATTTGATCTGATACGAATTTTGTTCTAACGCACAACTCCAAATTGTATTCGCAAAAAAAAAATCTGAATAGTGTTTAAAACATACCAATCAAATTGTATTTTGCAAGTATCACGGTTATTCACCTGATAACTATATTTACTAAACTCTATTAAGAATTCTTTATATTAAAAATTATTAAGATTTGTTGTAAAATGGTTCGTTACATCCAAGTTTGATTAGATATAATTAAATTTACACCATATAATAACAAGAGTTAAAATTTTTCAATAGATCTCATAGCAAATTCATAGGCCAAGAAAGTAGATGCATTAACAGGTGCAGCACGTAACATACATGTTCCAAATCCTTTAAAAAACCCTCTTACACCTTCTTTTCTATAAACTTTCACGAAACAATCTATGGAACCTTTATATTGTCTTGTTTCAGGTGTAAAGCCATCCGTTTGTATTTTACTTTTTACAGAATCTATTGGATAAACAGGTATCCACATTCCATATCCTGTAAAAATGTGCGCGAGTAACGTTTAATTTTTGTCAAAATTAGGTTTTAGGTCAAAGTTGGGTTCTAAGCCAAATTAGGTTCTAAAGAGGATAAATTACCTGCAGTAGCACCATATAGTAAAAGTTTCCAACTAGCAATTTGATCTCTATTTTTGTTTTCTTTTTTCATTGCATTTTGCAACAAGTATTCGTATACAAAAAAGTATCCACCAAATCCTTGGAATTCACGCACCATAGAAATTACTTGTCCCTTATAAATTCCACGAATTCCATATGAAGAATAAATTTTTTTGATACAGTCAATTGGTCCGGAATATAATTGAGCTTGAGTTGAAGCAGATGATTGCGTAGGTGTAATTTGGACTTGAAGGCCTGTATGTTGTACGTATTTTTAAACGTAAATATTAGCAATTCAGATCATTTGCTATAATTCTTTTTTTTTTAGTTCTTTTTACAAATCTTACGTGTACGAATATGTTCAACCGGCCCTAATAAAGAAAAAAAATTAGAAGTTTATATTAGGAAATAATTTCAAATATCTCCTAATATTTGGTTAATTCTTATCATACCTGAAATTACCGAATTAACTAATCCAGCAGTTGCTCCTGATATATATAATTGCGAGTTCGTTAAAAAAGGACTTTTATTTCCATTCTTTTCCTCAAAATATCGTTTCATATATCCTAATGATGCAAACTGAATTGATACACATGCTCCAATTCCTATTAAAGGAGTTGTAGTTCCCTAATTTTTTATGGAAATATTCAATAAAGTTTTGTAAAACTATTTTCGTAAAGGTATGGAAATTAACCTTATAAAATGCACTGAAACCTTCTATGCTAGTTTTTCGTACGCAATCTAACATACTGGAATATAATGGTGGTTGTCCAGGTTTTGGTGTTGGCTGCGTTTGAAGTCTCTGATTATACATATGTAAGCATTAAAGAATTAATTCGACATGATAATAAATCAATTGCTTCACAATTCTACAAAAATGATCAATTTGAAAAAACAAAAACTTACAACTTTAACAGTATCAAATGGCTTTTTATCATAAACCAAGAACGATTGTGTCAAATAAAGGTAATAAGATTAATTAATAACATTAATACGTAGATGGTATTACCTGTCCAACTAATACTTGCGCAATTCCACCAACAGTCCCACTAAAGCAATCTTTAATCGCCTTCACGGCTTCTCCATCATGGGAAACCTTCTGTAATTTAACTTCTTCCATTAATAACTAATTGATACGCTTATAAAGAAATTGCTCTAACAAAAGAAACAAGAAAAACTAATATGGGTATCTAATTTATATACAGAACTCCTATATGAATGTTGTACGTATCGTACTACATACCAGTATTGTAATTTCTAATACATATTAACTTTTACTGTTACAGACTTAACAATCAAACTTGTTCATATTAATACTGTACGAAGAACAGTGTACTGTACGTACGTATTACATGTGAATCTGAATATCCGGATTTTTGTGTAAAATGCATGAGCATGAGGATCGCTGATCATTCCGTGTATATCCATTTATTATCGGTTATACCGGTACGCATTTTGTTAGCGATAGATCAATTTTCAATAACTTGTATAAATGGGGAAATTTGCTTTACGCAATTCTGACCAACCGTGTTTGTTCTGATGATGAATTGCCATTTCTGATCATAGAACTTGGATTATTAATTATTTTTGAGGCCTAGTAAAATAATGATCGGGTGTGGAATGTCCAGAAACTTGCTTTTTTTAAACAGCTAAATTACTGCTTTTGTTTGGCTATTTCCGCACAATCTTCTTAACCAATTAAAATTAAGAATATTATTAGTAATTAAATAATTGAGTGTTCGAGAGTGAAAAGGTGCAAGTAAATATTTGACCCCATAAAATATTATACGACTTTGACCGATCAAATTTCAAATATTTACTTGCATCTTTTCACTCTCGAGCACTCAATTAATAAATAATGATAATTCGGCTTTTTTTGCGCAGAATCAGCAGAATTTGTACATTTAGGATTATGGGCTTCAAAATTTTGCATGGTTCCCCATTGGAAAATAAATGAGCAAATTTCCATTAATCCATAAATGAATAATATAAAGGCTTTTGCTTATACGGAAATAAACCTATAGTCCGTTATTTACAAACTTTTTTATAGAGGTCACGACGGCCAGAGTTGTTGCTGTAATTTGAGCAAATAAGTCAATTTCTCCATAATAACTCAAGTTTTCGAAAGCCATTTTCCTGAAAAGGCATAACCTCGACAATGTCCGAAATAGAAATGGGAGTTGGATATCCGCCAATTTTTACTGTTTTTAATTTTATAATGAAATTATAAACGAACAAATCGGATACCCGGATATCCATGAAATTTAAATATGCAGCATATTATGTCTTTCAGGAAAATGGCTTACAGTAACCATTATTAAAGACATTTACAAAAGTATGTTTGCCTTTAAAAATAAATAATAAATAAATGCTTACATAACAAAAAAAAAAGAAAATCAAATACAGTACCATATCGGAATAGAAATCTCAGGTAATTTGTCATAAACATGAACAATTTTGATCAAATTAAAAAAAAAAGAACCATTACAGCGCATTTGATACTAAGATTTGACTGTGTTAATCAATATCCCAAGTGAGGGTGCATAATTATATATAAATTTCTAGCCGTTAGGTGCGATCCATTTTTACCTCATAATGCACTCGAAGAATTGCTTTCCAAATCTATTAGCAACAAATCGGCTAATAGTCGACGTAAAACCTTTATAACACGCGAAGACTTTGATTTTTGTATTTAAGGTTTTACAAGATCAAGCAAATACAAACACAACGGTTGAAAGACGTTCCCTTGCAAGATACTGGAGTTTTGGGAATGACACATATAGACTTGAATGCAAATTCGCATTAATAGAATTACGTATAATACTAATGAATTGCTTCTATTGGATCTTGATAAGTTTCTAGAATTAGATAGTTTTACTTCAATGCTCATAAGCGTTCGAGAAATGTTTATTATGCAAAAATCTTCACAAGTAGATAATATTAAATGCAATTGCAAAAACGCTAGCATAATCGACAGAATAATTTGCCATTTTTTTTAAATATGGATATATTTATATTTAATATTTAAAAAAAAAATATATTATCAAAAGTCTTAATCAGACTCCGTACTTCTTTATAACTATGTTATTTTGTGCTTAGACTTAAAAAAGTACTGCAAATATGAACTTTCTTAATAGTTCGTAGTTGTTTAATCCCATTGTCAAATTTTTAGCTATTTCATTTGACATAAATTTAAAATATACAGTATGAATCTGTTTTAAGTTTTAAATATACGTTTAATCATTTTTGAATAAATCAACACAAGTCAAAATAAAAATTCCGACATGCTAGATAGCACCACTCAATTACCATTCGACATGCTATTCTGCATTCTATCAATAATTGACATATTTGGTCGAATGGCGTGCCATTCGACACGTTGCATTTTTTTGACCTCGAATTTTTTTTTTAACCAGTAGAATGCATTAATAGTCTCAATTTATTCTAAAATGCACCTATGATGGTTTGGCAGATATCATATGTTTTTATTATGTTTTGTATATTTTATTAAGTTCTTTATAAGTTTTGTATATAAAATTTTTAATGCTTTTTCATACTAGGGTTATGATTAGGGTCCAAGAAGGCATAGAACGGCTTATCTAAAACATCCCGCACCAATTAATTAGCTAGTTTTTGAGATAATGTATTCATATATATAAAGCACCATAGGTGCATTTTATGTCATATATTTGATTTTCAAGGCAAAGACCCCATAAAAATTTGATCAAATCTCACTGGTCAACCTTAATCATATGATTAGTGAAGTTTAGGTGATTGGCTTGTTTAATTTTGGGGAACAGTTAACTGAGAGGGGGGATGACGTTAACCAACTAATCAACTTTGAACGGCCTAATTAATATCAACATTTCCTTCTTCACAAGAATTACTCTGGCATGTCCAAAGTTATTTTATGTGATTGATCAATTTAGAAATTTCAATAATGGCGACAATTATGAAAATGAAGTGTATAAAATATCGCTTCATTTAAGTAAGTCTCCTTAAAAAAAAAAAAGATAAAAAAGAAAAATCCTATTGATACTTAAAATTTTATGTTACATATTGATAATTGTACTAGAGAAAATATAGCAAGCACATAATCTTCATTACGTGTAAGATATAAAAATTTCTTTAAATACCAGATATATTATTTGAAATTTGTTACAATAAATTTTTTTAAAAAAAAGGTTTCGAAATACTGGGATTTAGGGCACGTGACAAGTAACTACGAAACTTAATATGACAAAATTTAACCGAAGGAAAAAATTATATATGACGGGTGACTCAAATAATCACATGTACGCATATCGATATGGGGTCTTTGCCTTGAAAATCACCTTCCGACATTTCCGATCGGGTTAATTCGGACAAAAATAAACCCGAGTATCGGTTCATGTTCATATGTTTATTTGATAAACTATTGAATCAATAAAGTTAAAAGATGTTAGTTATTTGATAAACTATTGAATCAATAAAGTTAAAAGATGTTAGTTATTTGATAAACTATTGAATCAATAAAGTTAAAAGATGATCATGAACCGGTACTCGGGTTTATTTTTGTCCGAATTAACCCGATCGGAAATGTCGGAAGGTGATTTTCAAGACAAAGACCCCATATTTTAAACGGAGTGGGAGTAATTAAAATGATTAGATAATGACGTCAAATTAATAGTTGAAGGATCATTAATAGTTGAAAAATCAATATTTAGCTCATAGTTCCCGTTTCTAATACTGGGTATAATCTACTCAAGCTATGTTCAGTTATCGTTATAGCTTCATAGAAGAACGTTTAATTAACTGGATAATTTATTTATACATTTAAAGTAATTTTTGAGAACATAACATTTTACTAACGCTAATAAAAATCACTCTAGAAACCATTAATAAATGCTAATTAGTATTTACTGCACAAATGAATCTTGACCAACTTAAAAGGCGAATACATTTCTATTTTACATTTAGTTATGCTAGAGTATATACGTAAATAAGTATGAAATTTGAAATCAAATATTCAAAAAAACGTTATTGCAACTATTCATTATGCCAATATAACAGTCTTATATTTGGTGTAAGTTATCATTAGGTAAATAAGTATTCTTAATAAAATGCGTTAATAAAGAGCAAACTTCGCTGTACGTATATATGTTATTCTTGAATTTTTTGTTTAATTCTGATTGGTCGAAATGTAGTACAAATCTTGTGTTACTGAGAATTTTTGGTGGTGCTCTTGGGGTGGCTTTACTTATTTGTGCCAGTAATACAAATTCCTAATTTAGTAAAACCCAATAAAATTTATGCACGTGATCACATGCATTACACGATCTACATTATTGACTGACATCCTCAGAGACCGTCAGTAATTTGATGTTCTACATACACGCATGATTTACGCGCACAACTATTAAAAAATAGCAATTAGCTTTCAATTACCTTTCAAACTAGTTTCATTATTATTATTATTACATATTATTATTACAAGGAAAAAATATAAGTTTTGTATTACAAATAAAGCTCTTTCTATATTTTATTAGCTAAAATTTCATCTACTGTTTTTCAATTCTAAGATTTGGAGAAAGGTTAGCATTTTTGTCTTTATCTACCCAGTCTCCTAGTCAGAAATCTCTTTCTGGTCTTCGAACTTCTTTAAGAGCATGTTCTAATTTGTTTTTGACTACTTGTAAGCAATTAACATCAAGATCATGAAGACCTTTTACCATACTTTTAATATTGTGAAGAAGATTATCGACGGTTGGCTGCTGCTATATAAGTTGAGGCTGAGATCGAGATCGGTAAAGTTTCCGTTGTTCAGGTTTTTTTTGTTGTGAAGTGCTAGAAGTAAAGAAACAAAAAATAACTGCATATATGTGTTTGCAGGGAAGATGCTGAGAAAAAAAATCATGACAGGTACATGAAAATTG